TTACTGTTCTCCAGCTGGACATTGAGCCATTGACCACAACTCTTTGTGTGTGGCCATCCAGCCAGTTCTTTATCCACCGAGTGGTCCATCCGTCAAATTGATTTCTCTCCAATTTAGAGACAAGGATGTCGTGTGGGACAGTGTCGAACGCTTTGCACAAGTCCAGGTAGATGACATCAACTGCTCTAACCCTGTCCATCAGTTCTGTAGCCCCATCATAGAAGGCCACCAAATTGGTCAGGCAGGATTTCCCCTTAGTGAAGCCATGCTGGCTGTCACCAAGCACCTTGTTGATTTTCATGTGCCTTAGCATGCCCTCCAGGAGAATCTGCTCCAAGATTTTGCCAGGCACAGAGGTGACACTGACTGGTCTGTAGTTCCCTGGGTCATCCATTTTCCCCTTCTTGAAAATGGGGGTTATATTTCCCTTTTTCCAGTCGTTGGGAACTTCACCTGACTGCCATAATTTCTCAAATATGATGGCCAGCGGTTTCGCAACTTCATTTGCCAGCTCCTTCAGGACCCATGGATGGATTTCATCAGGACCCATGGACTTGTGAACATTCAGATTAAGATAGTCTCAAACCTGTTCCTCTCCTACAGTGAGCACAAGGTCTTCATTCTCACAGTCCCTGCATCTGCCTTCCAAGACTTGGGTGGTTTGGTCAGAGCCTTTGCCAGTGAAGACCGAGGCAAAGAAGTCATTCAGAACCTCAGCCTTCTCCAAATCCTGTGTAGCCAGTTCTCCCGACAGCTTCCTGAGGGGGCCTACATTCTCCCTAGTCTGTTTTTTATTTGCTATGTACCTGTAGAATCCCTTCCTGTTATCTTTAATACCTCTAGCTAAGTTTAATTCTAACTGAGCCTTATCTTTCCTAACCTGGTCCCTAGCTTCCCGGACAACATCCCTGTACTCTTCCCATGCCACCTGTCCTTGCTTCCACTTATTATAAGCCTCTTTTTTCATTTGAATTTTCCTCAGGAGCTCCTTATCCATCCTTGGAGGTCTCCTGGCCCTCCTGCTGCACTTCCTTCTGGTTGGGATGCAACACTCCTGAGCTTGTAGCAGGTGATCCTTGAATATCAACCAAGAATCTTGGACCCCTCTGCCCTCTAGGGCTGTATCCCATGGAACCTTCCTAAGCAGGTTCCTGAAGAGGCCAAAGTCTGCTCTTTTGAAGTCCAGGGCAGTGAGCTTGCTGCACGCTCTTCTCACTGTACTGAGGATCTCAAATTCGAGCATCTTGTGATCGCTGCATCCAAGGCTGCCCTGGAGAGTCACATTTCCAACCAGCCCTTCCCTGTTGGTGAGCACGAGGTCAAGCATGGCACCTCTCCTTATCGGCTCCTCTACTACATGCAGAAGGAAGTTGTCTTCTACACAATCGAGTAACCTTCTGGATCGCTTATGCTGGGCTGTACCGTCCTTCCAACAGAGTTTTCAGACAGTAGACACCATAATTCAAGGCTTTCTGCCTCCATTTGAAAGTAAATTTGGATAAAAACAAAGTTTGCTTTTAAAGTGCAAAAGCTCTTCCTGCATAAATGCACGTGTGGACAGTTCTATTTCAGAAATCAAAATGTCTTCTTGTTTCACTTAATCTACTTTGAAAATAGAAGTGTTTAGCTTAATCCTTCATTGAACTGGAACAAGGCCACTTATTCCAGTCCACTTGTGAGTTGTGCTGGAAAGGGAGTAGCTTTTCTGAATAACTACTATTCATTTCAGAAATATTTTTCCAACTAGTTAGGTCTGAGCCTGATCTCTGTTGACACACATTGCAGCCTTCCAAATCTCAGGTCTAAATTTTGCAACTGTCTCTTCAAATAACAGACTCCATGTTAGTGCTCAGAAGTCTGGACCCCAGAACTGAACCTAAACTGTATTGTGTACTTGTGACAGAAATGTAACTTAGATTTTGTGGCTTTTACCAACTTCAAACTACAATTGATTCTTTGTTGGCTGTAGATATGGTAGTAGCAGTATTTTTAACAGTAAAAATGGCAGTGATGATGGTCATTCATTGAACAAATTAAATCATGGACTGTTTTGGTACAGAGGAAATCAAAGCATATGCACAAATCCTATCAATCTCAGTTAAATGGTGCCATGATTTAGGAATAATTCTCTGAACCAGGACTTAAGGCTGTCAGCTCTAAGAAGCAAGTCTTGTTATCTCTGCGTGTCTGAACTGTGCTTAACCAACTAGAACTGTTATATGGTTGATAACTTGAGAGACAATCGTAGTATATTATATAAGCATCTTTTTGGCACTTTGGGAGATTCTGAGAGTTAGAAATAAAATCCTTGCACTTAGTCTCTTGGGAGGCTTGAGTACTTCTTTTTTATTTTTTTATTTTTAAATGACATTTCAAGCTCCTCATGCAGTTTGTAGAATGGTTGATGTGCATACCTGGGTTACTCTGAAGGTCAAATACTCTTTATACTGGACATTGCAAGCTGCTGTCCTAACTTCAAAATCGTTAGCTTAGCAAATGGGAGCTTAAATATAAGCCTAGTCAATGGGGAGGAAAGAAAGTCCGCTGCATAGTATGTCTAGCAATAGGAAAAGCTACAGAATGTGAACATAAATTTTTAATTCAACATTCCTTAATTTAAAAAAAAACCCACACCACCACCAATCCCCTCCCCCTGACAAGCTTGCAAAAACTAGGTCTGAATTCCCAGTGGGAATAATGAGCAACAGCAAGAGTGAATGCTGGGAGAGAAGAATGCAATTGTATTAGGCTCCATCACAATGGGAGGTAAACCCAAATCATTTATAAAACGTAAATGCTGGCAGAACACAGGGAGCTCAGAGCACCACACTGCAGGTGTGATTTATGAGGCTGGGGACTGGCTATAAATCAAACCCTTTTGTTTTAAATAGTACTGCTTCAACGCAGGAGATCAGTTTACATGTAGAGGAAATGATGAAAAAAATGCAGTACATTGCATCCCAGGAATATTAGAGAATCAGCTTTACAATGCGACTATCAGTACCACGTTCAGACAATGGCTATCTGATGCACAATTGAACGAATGCTCCCACTGTTTGAACAGAGTGCCCTAATCTAGCAACTCAAGTTTGTTTCAAATGTATTAATCATGTAATCTATTTTGTGAGACCAGCTGTTAAAATTATTGCACTTAGGATCAGGAATGCATTGGCTATTCCTGTTTACTAGCCAGTGTCCTTTTATGCCACCAAAGGCTCTGCTTGTTTCTATGTTATCTGTATTTTTCCTTAATTATAAAGGTTTATGGGTCTCATTATTTAGTGGCCTTGTCCTGTGGAAACGGGTGGATAAAACAATTAATTCCTAAGGATTCAAATAGAGGCTAGGTATCCTGGGAAGTTCTGCTCGATTACAGGAAAATACACACCTCTGGCAAAGAAAAGTGCTTTTCTCCCTCTATTGGTTGTATAATTATCAAATGGATGAGATTTTAAAGGTAACAAACAAAATTATTTCTCCTGCTCTGCTTCCCAGATCTGCCAGGGCTTATCTTGGCTGTATGTTTTGCATTCATTTTGCATGCATTCCACTAGAGCAAACTATATGCCTGAAACCACACTGTGTGTCCTGCAACGTGGGCCAGAGAAGCACTTAAAAAAGCTGAAAGGACAAAAGGCCTACATAAAGTAGTACAGCAGTAATATCAGCATTCAAAGACATTTATAATGGAACAAAAGCTGAGTGCCTTGCACTTGCATGTGTTCTAGTCATTTGATGTAATGGTCTTACATCAGTAACGATTTAGCCATGTGAATGTAAGAAGTTGCCTTTAATTCACTGATAAGCAGAGTGCCTTTAAGTCAGCAAGGAGCCAAGAGACATCTTGTATTGCATTGCTTTATTACTTTCCAAGAGTCCAAAATGCAAACAATATAGAAACATATAAGCTACATTTCCAGGGTCTTTCTGAGGTTCTGATAATGATATAGCCAGCATCAGCTATTGCTGGAGGCGTTAATATCAATTGCTAGTGTAAGGAGAGTATCATTTAACTGAAATGATTGATTTTTTTTTTCTTATTTATTATAAAAATGCACCCAGTGCCATGAATTTATGGGGCACTCTATGAATGCAAAAACACATTCCCTGCTCAGAAGAGCTTGCAGTCTAAATTAGACCAATATATGAAAAAGATATATTGGTGGTGAGCAGAGAAAACAGTGTCTGAAATTGCTTTTACCAGTTTCTTGAATCTGACCTGGCTTCCAGCTGATAATGGGCCAGACATTTAGAAGAATTTGGGCTTCTGTTTTCCAAAGATTAGGGTGCTTAAGTGTCTTTAAAAATGAAGTGGTTTTACACAGAAAATCTAATGAACCACAAAAAGCACATTATGTGGGAGAGGAGCGAAGAAGGCTTTATGCTTTATGAATCTTAAGTTGTCGTGGACACTAAAGCCAATTTAGGTAGATAGCCTTGAAAGGGGTTTGTCCAAGTATTGCAGTCCTCTCTGGTTGCAGTGCCATCTGTAATCTTTATAACATTTGTGTTTTAACTGGATTCCTGAAACCTCTTTCCATCTTAGGGATTTTTTTTGTAGGCAAACACTCTGTCTCCTTTCTTTGTCTGTTGTGTCCTGTGAGAGAAATACTTCTGTGGGCCAGAAGTAGTGTTTTAAAACCCATTTTTGCAAACTCTTCTGCCTTTTACACAAATAAAGATGTCACTCAAGGGACCTTGTTGCAACAGTTGAGAAAAAATATAATTAAAGCTGATTTAAACATTGAATTTCTTTGCCATCATAAAGGTTAAATAGACGGAAAAGCAAAAGAACATTTATATAGCAGAAACAATAATGAAGGGTTTACTTTTGCAACCTCCCCTTGAACAGTGGAGGTTGTGGCTTTTCCTATGTACAGTCATCAGGAATAGCTGGTAATTACCAAGTTCAAAGCCTATTGTCTCCTCCAAAAGCTGACTCGTTTTTTTGGGGTTGTTTCAGCATGACGTGACGTCTGATGGCTTTATTTCTTTTATAGGTCTTCTTGATACACAATGAATCCTGACCTGGGATGGAAAGTAATTTTTGTGAACATATTTACAGAACTATGTGTAATAGATCTTGCAAAGGCTGAAGGCTGGTAATAGCAACTGATGTAGTACCATGGAGAAAAGAAACCTGAACACTGCTCTCGGAGGAGGCCAAGTGAGGAGTGAGGTAATAACAGGTTTCATTGCCCAGTTGGGGTTGACAGAAGGAGAGGTGATTTTGCCCCTCAAGTTGTGCTCAGAGGGCGGGAGGCAGTGTGTATTTTACATATATGCTGTAGGCGATGGGACAGACTTGTTCAGTGATCTAGGAGGCATTGTGTTACGTACAAAGGTCTCCTGCAAAGCTGATGAATATTTTTTTCCTATTGCAGGGCTGATATGCTGAATGCCTCCCTGCAAATCTTGAATCCAGCCTTGCCATGGTTTGCTCAATGTAGAATATCATTAAGCCAATGTGTGTTGCACTGAGGTAAAATTACAGGAGAATTTTTTGTATTCAGGAGCTGACAAAAGGAATGTCCTGAATTTATTCTAATGGCATGGTTTTACTTTCAGGTAGGTGTTGGCATTTCAAACTACTTTAATGGCTGCAAGCATGAAATGTTCCATGGTAGCTTACTCACTCTAGCATGCTGTCTGTGGGCAGGGTTTATAGAGGGCAATTCATGAACTTTGCTTCTTAAACCATAACCTTCCACACAAGGAAGTTCAAGTAGGTCATGTGGTGAGAGGAGCCAGGAAACACCCCTATGTGTGTGATGCAAATCTTACAGCCTGTCTAGTAGCTGGGAGTGGCCAACAGATGTGCATCCCCGTTTGTCAGATGTGTTTATACATCTTCTGAGATGTTACAGCTATTAATTGTATATCAGAGCTTAGAATCCGACCCTAAAAAGTAGGTGTTTTCTAAGGTGGTATTCAACTTCCTTGTGATGAAAATTAGCTTTCCAACTTAAGCAACATTTGTGACTTAGTTCAGAAGAGCACTGAAGATGTGCTTATTGCAATCCCCATTTAGCAAGATTTTTAACATGCTCCTGTAACAGAAATGAAAATTAAATATGGGTTTAGATGCTTTTGCAAAATTGTGTTTCAACTTTCAGCCTCTGGATGGGAAAATTAGTCACGAATGATGGTTCATAGTGTAAGGTTTCTCCCTTTTTACTCAGGAAGGGACTGATACAGGAGGTGTCATTGGAAACCATGACTAGTGGTGAACAGTTAGCAGGAGATTTTAGAATGCATTTTAAAATAACAGCTAAACATGTGAATGTTTAAATTCAGGTATAAATAAGCAGAAGTAGCATTTTTAACATTTGGATATTAAAAAAAGGAAAAATTTTTGGAAGACTGTTATTTCAATTTTAAAATTAAGCGAAAAAATTGTAATTCAAAAAAAGATTGCAGCCATCTGTAACCCTCACAGTTCATGTGTCTGCAGACAGACATTCCCTTTCTAAGTCATTTTTCCAAGATGATGGGTTTGTAAAATGTAAAATAAATGAATAAATAAGCACACATATTTTGATATGCTCCACCATTCCTCTAATATTGTCCTGTAGCATACGATAAAGACAAGAGGAATAAAGGGACGATGAATAAAGACTTTTGGAATAAAGGGACGATGCATAACAGATATACTTTTTTTATTTCTTGTCAGGAATATAGATGTAAGAATAAACACTTCGGAGGATACCCTGTTACTAGACCCTAATGGTGCCACAAATGCCATCTTCAGCTGTGCTGCTAGTGGAGTTCTGCAAAGTCCGCTCCACAAAGATGGTTGTAGTCTGAATATGGGACCTCTGTTGCTTCAACATGCCATTGGCAGCAGCAGTATCTTGCTTCCTCCCTTGCCATCTGCAGGCCAGAAACATCACTGTCTCTCAGCTATGGCAAACTGCAGAACCCAGTCATCCTTTTCTGCTCTCAGAAACGTGCACTGTGAGGAATGTCCCAGAAATGGTAACTTCCTCATGTTACTTAAATGTTCTATCCTAAGGTCTGTGGATGGCTCCTGAATTTTTAAGTATTTTGAGTGCTTTTTTTAACATTGATATGAAAGATGTTCTCTTACAAAAGAAGTTCATTAGTTAAGCAGCCCTCTTTCACAGCAGTGTAGGAATACCAATTCCTCCAGATAACAGCATTTTTCTGGTCTGGTGCCTATCTTCAGATTTACCAGGGGTCAGCACTGTATGGCAAGGGGAATCTTCTTTAAAAGCCCTGATTAGGCATTAATGCAGATGCTAATTTCTGCCTTTAGTGTACCTCTGATAAATTATCAAAGTGTAGTGATTTATAAGGTTTGAGTAGGCTGGCTGGTGGGGGATGTGAGAGGGTTGGAGGATCCTGCTGCACAGCCCACTTCGAACTGCTGGAGGTAGAGTTTTAAAGCAGCAGTCTGGATTTGTTTGTAATTTTGTATGCATGTTTTTAGTTTAGTAAGTGTCAAGAGTATAAAATAGAATATAAAACTATTGCCTCAAAGGGAAATGTTTTAAAAAATTTAAAAACACCTGTCCTAATTATTGTATATGACTGATTTTAATTTTCAATTAGACTCTGAGGTAGAAAATATCTTATACACATGACTTCTGCTGGTCACCCGAAAATTATGGGACAGAGCATGTTTTGCTATTTCTGAATGATTTATTTAATGTCCTGATGAAGTTTCATTTCTGTCTATTTAGTTCTAACCTAGGTAAGAATTTATTTTTTAAACCTCATAAATTAAAGAAATTTCCTGTTAATTCATCTGGTATATCCATTGTTCGCAATGTTAGGGTGTTTTTCCTTATGTGTTGCATAGTTGGTGATTGATCCAGATAGGTCTAAGTGGTAAAAGAAGCAGAAACCCCTCTAACTTCCAGAACCTGCTCCACAACTTTGTACGCTGTGTATATTCTGGTCACAGTCTCTATCTGTGCAAAATTTGGAATAAATGGATTGAAGTCAACAAAGCTGTTTTAGTTTAACATAATGTAATAATAGACTCTGTCCTCAAACTCCATCTATCATTCCAGCACTCGTTAGGCATTCTGGTTTTGTTCATAGTAGACGCCATCATAAAGAAATTGATTTCCCTCTGTTCACTCATCCAATTTATTGCAAGAGAACTCCATGTTCATTTGCCCATTACGCAGCATTTTGTAGGGTGAGAAAGAGACAAGCCAAAAGAAATCAGAAGAAGTAGTTATCATGTTGGCTGAGGTTCTGCTCTCATTTATATTTGGTATAAATGCAGAACAGCTCCACTTCTCTCAGAGGAGTTTATTTGCATTTTGTTGGGTGAGGTGAACTCCAGATTATACTGTGAACCCCCAAACTCCCCTTCTCTACCCATATTTGCTGTACTGAGTTACAAAAGAGACTTGTCATGATCTTGTAGCCTATGAGTTATGATTTTTAGTACCTCTGCTGTTCCTCCCCTTCCTTTATTGCTAGTTGCATTCCCTGAGTTGGGCAGCCAAATAATGTGTCCTCCATGACTGTTAAAATGGCACTATAAATAGGCTAGGAAGTAGTATTGTTGAGGCAAAGCAACCAGCACAGTCTTCTTTGCTCTCCTCAGTGATAAAGCTGTTCATGACCACAATGCACCTAGTGTCTGTTATTGGTAGAGCATAGGCATGGTGTTTCTGCATCATTGTCTCTCACAGGGTTGCACAAACCATGGTGCATTTCAGTAAGGATGACACCATTAGTGTGCTGAATGCTGTACAGTGGCAATGACAGAAAAAAAAGAGCCCTCTTCTCCCACATTGCTTCATGCTGTGAACAAAACGGTGTTCTTGGTGAAGCCAAATCGAAAACTTTCTGTGCAGTTGGCTCAGTTAGAAATTTGCATTGAGGAATGTGTTAGCTGGTAAATCTGTAAGCTGTGAATTGCATAGAGACTTGACATGACAGTATATGAAGTGATCCTGTAGTAGTTTTGCTTTCCTTTTATGCCACTCATTTCTTGTTTAGCTGCATCACATGAAATCTTTCCACCCTCATCTTCAAGGCATTACAGATGTTGCCTTCACTGCCATGTTGCCTTCCTGTACTAGTTTACCAGCTTCATATCTGTCCCCTGCCTACAACTTTGTGCTTGCTTTCATTTATTTTCTATTCCTGGCACAATTTTTCCTCAGAAAACTGACCTGCTTCTGTATGTTGGCAATTCTTTGCCCACCTACCACCCCTTCCTTGCCTTCTCCATAGCTTGATTTGGTATGTTGTGGATGCTATATATTTATACATGTTGGGTGGGCTAAGATCAGTACTATTCTTGTGGTGGTGTGTTTTTGAAAGCTGCGTATATCTCAGAATATATCTTGTTTTCAATTGTGTGAGAACAGTGGCTGAGACCAGTACTTCATGGCATGAGCTGTGGCTGAAGTAATTACAGCAGTCCACTGCAGCTAAACATGTAGATATTGTAGATGAAGTGTTTATGCATTTGTGTGGTTCTGGGAGAAAACAAAAAATTCTGTTTGGAAACTGTGAAGTAGCAGTTTTGATTAAATTAATATTGCAGAGACTTTCTCTTTGGACCAGTGGTTTGTTGGTAGCTTAGAATGAATCAAGCAAGAACTTTATACAAACACCAAACTGTTATTTAAATGTGTCACAGCATTGGTAGGGCACCCCTGAATTGGTGCTAAACTCAGCTTTCAAGTTTGTGGTGAACTTTGGGAGTTGACTTTTCAACCACTTTGACTGGATGGTTGAAACATGGTCTCTTCTTTTGGCTTCTCTGGCAATTTTCCAATAAACAGCCTGTCAGCCTGTTATACTTTCACAGCTGTATTAGCCCCTTTGGCCTCCCCACCAAGCTGCTGACTAAAGTCAGCTCATCTTTGCTGAGAATGTTGGTCCTACTGGAAAAGTGAGTTTACAATTTATTCTTTGGGCATGTGACATCTGATAGCAAACAGGCAAACACTCTTTGCACTCTAGTCACTTTTCTACTGAAATAGCGCAAGAAATAACACATACACACACATAAATGTATGTGTATATATATGTATGTTTATGAACACAAAAATGTCTATTTATGTACAAAAATGTGTATGTTTCTAATAAGAAGAAAGAATATACATGCTCATTGCCTTTTCTTTCTTCTGTCTCTGTAGCTCCCAGGAGCTGTCTATGTCAGAGCCTCCCAGGCTGTCCCCCTGAGTCTTCATGTGGTGCACAGCTCTTCATCTGAATCACAGGCTCGATGTCATTTGGTTCCTACTTCCTTCCTTGGCCCACTGCCTTCTCCATCTTTGTCTCGATTTCTTTCTTGCTCAGCTTGTCTTCCCCAGCTTCTTAATGTGTGAGATTTTATCGAGGCAAAATATGCGCTTCTGTGGATTGTATCAATGCTTTATTTCATTCTTCTGCCTTTAGGAAAATTCCCAGGCTCCAGTTCCAGCAGCCAGTAGAGACAATCTGCCTTTTCCTAGATACTAGCCTTCTTATTGTCCTGCCCTGGTGCCCAGGCAATAACCCTTACAAGAGACTTTTTCAAAGATGATAGATTTTTGTTTTGGCCCTACTTTCCTGCTTATTAGTACAAACTGTATTGAACCAAGGTATGGTGAAGATGGCCAGATATAAAAGAGATTCTTACACTGAAACCAGGATTTTGTAAGGTGTGCAGAAGTGTCCTGGATGACTCCTAAAAGATTTTGAAAGAAAGACTGACCTAAGGGGAACACAAGGCCCCAAACTAAATTAGTAACCAGGAAAAAAGGTGTTGAGGTCTCAAGTTACAACCCCCCTGCTCTTAAACAATGCAGCATAGGGACAGTTTTCCCTTTCATGCAGTAAACAGGAGTTTCAGGAGTAACTTGGTTTCAAATGAGCCGTATTTGACAGGCAAACTCAGACTGAAACCCGAGTGGAGTGTTTGTGAATGCGCTTGGACTGAAACTGAAGAAAAGCTTTCCATGAATCGCTATAAACAGAAACCACTACGTTAACCTAGATGGGTGCCCTACTTCCCAGCTGAGATACC